AACAAATGCAAAGGAAGCAAAATAAATTTCCAAAAATTTCCCCTTACTTATAGGGTTTTGAATGGCCTAGATCTCTCTCATCCAACGGTGTCAATTGAACCATATGACACACAAATTTCAGACCTCACTTAGCAAGCTCTTAACTACCTACCATCATTTTGTCTCTTTACAGTTGAAATAGTGGACATTAAGGCACCACATTCCCTCAATGTTAAGTGTCCTTTTAGTAGGAGATAAGGAACATTCTTAGAATATTCTAATATAATTTGAATTTTGAACTTCAAGAACTCTTTAAATATCTTGCAAACATATACATATACATATACATATATATATTTAGAATTTTAATTAAGTTAGTTTCATTATTAAGATTAAAGAATTTGTTACAATTAGAATCTATTGCAATGGAAAAAATTTTCCAAAGGATTTGATGGCACTTTCCTTCTCTCTCCATAATAGATATAGCACTTAAGATGTTTGGCAAACATTTGATCATGTTCGCTAAGAGCTCACCTTTTTAGTAGCTCTATCTTTTATGTCCTTTGCTTGATACAAGATGTCAAGCTTTAGCTTGCTTGCAACTTAGTAGCAAACCTGAATTTATTCGTGCATTTATTCATTTTATATTATCGAGACATGTTATAATCACAATATAGGCCATATATGCCTCACCTATTGGAGCAACAACTGTGCTCCACCAATAGATGCTTTGACTCAAAGTTATTAATCTCATACCAACATGTGTAGTGGTTTTTTACTGGAATAATACCTACTAAGTACTAAAATATTGTATATCAATCTAAATTGGTTGTTACATATATATATATATATATTAAATAAATAGACACATTTAATATGCCAATAAAATAGAGGAAAAAGAGTTTTTAAGATAAAACAAAAATGGTATAAAATAAAAAGTTGGGACATTTTTATCAAAATGCGCATTTGTTTGCAAACAAATTGGAAAACACACACAAAATTAAAAACCTTAGTTTCTTTCCTTTTCTAGCCATCCTAGAAAAACCAATAAAAATACTTCATTGCTTTCATGGCCTTTCACCATCCATTTCTCATCTCACTTCCATCATCACCATTCATTTCTCATCTTCACCTCCATCATCAATTCATTACCATGTTGGGTTTAAGAGGGCACAATGAAAGCAATACAAATTTAAAATTTCAATCCCTTTCAATCCACCTAACAATCATATTAATCCGTTGACAATTAAGGAAAGTTAGAATCAATACCTCTAAGAAGTGTGCTTCTAAGATGCATAGCTCTAATTTGCAACTTTTGTACAAAACCTAGAGTCCAAGGGTAGAAATCCTTTAGCGATACTCCACACTTATGGTTTGGATTAGAAGAAAACTATATTTCAATGCTATTAGCGATTGATAATCTAGTTGGATCTTTTACTTAGTAGAGAATATTTAGTGGCCCAAATCTCTATGAGAGAAAATTAGGGTTCTCATGTTTTAGTCACCTATTTATATTAAGAGGGAATAGAAAACTTGGTATTCTAATGTAGTTAGAATTGCCAAACTTAGTCTTTAAGTCAAAGTACAAAAATTGGAAGAAGACTTTCCTTCCTTATTTTTTTTTTCCTTTTGCCACATATCCCTATCCGTATTGGGTTAGGAATTGGACTAGGGCTTCATTGCTTTATGTGCCACCCAACCCTAGTTTAATATGGGCTAGAGTTTGGCCTATAAGTCCTCTAAGGACTTAATTACCACTTTTAGATTTTCTTGTCATTAATTTCAAACAAATCCAATCTTAAATTAATTAAATTAATTCTCTCTTCTAATTTAATCTAGAACTTAATTGATTTATTTCTCTTATGAAAATAATATTTTCATATAAATTAATCCATATCCATACACTTAAATTTACAGAAATCTTAATCCTCATAACATATTATACAACCTCCTAGGGCAATGAGAAACATTCATAGACCAAAAGCAATATCTGGCAACACATCATGGCCACCAAAGTGATAAAAAAGTTGATGGCTTTGACAAACTTTCCTATGACTTATGTATATTTAATTCCTTTATCATTGAATGTCTCCTTCAAGTAAGATGCATGCTATGAGTTATCATCCTTAAAAATTGATCTTTTTTCTTTGATTCTCAAGATAGACTAACTAAATGAATGAACCTTTCATTCCTTCTATGGCAATGAACCTTTAATTCCTTCTATGACCATAGACTTTAACTATTCTCATCTTAATCAAAGGGCCTAGAGATAACTTCTCTCATTAACTCATTCATTACTCTTATGCAATTCGTGATGCAATCAATAACTATAATACTTGAAACCTCTTGTAATAGCAATTTTTGACAATATCAAAGAACATGAGTTATTGCATACAGTAATAATAATTTTAAGTCAAAAGATCACTTACGTTATAGTTGAGAAGTTACTAATGATATGTGCATGTGGTGTTCTCATGGTGGGTCAATCCCATGCACTCACGTACTTTGACTTATTCACATGTGATACATGACTTCATGAGAAGAAGTTTTAACATCTTGCAAAGTATCACATATGATAGTCTTTGCATCATTGATATCTCATATCAATGACATATGACTAATGGCCAATTTAAAAATGTTATTATCACATTATATGGTTCTTACTAACAACAATAGCTATTATTATCTTTTGATGTAGCAAATATTCTAAGGATTTTATCTATATTTAACGTATGCAAAAGAATAATAGTTAATGTTCAATAAAAAGTGCCATAAATATAATGAACATAATCACAAGCACATATGATTGTCTTGCCAACATAGTTAACTCATAAGGCATACTCTAACTCATTGGCCATTTTTCTTCCTTGCCTCCATCATCACCATCTTTGGTCTTTTATCTCTTTTGATTATGAGTCCAATATCTAGATTAAATAGCCAAGACACAGGTGAACCAATATGGTTGTGTCCTCATCCATCCCCCTCATGTTATTACTTGTTTGACATTAGTTTTACCATTTTGTATTTTTACATCATTTTGATACAAGCTCAAAATTTATCAAAATCAAATATCTCAGAGAACTTATGTATGTCCTCAAAAAGCCTCAATCCTTTCATAATTTTTTTTTTCTTTGCATGAAAATGGCAAAGACACTAAATGGCCAAAGAGTTTAATACAAGCTAATACACTAAATATAGGTCAATATGGTACTTTTCAACCAGTATATTTACTATTGGCACTGGTACAATATTAGAGGTGTAATGTACCAATTTTAGGCCAAAACGGATATGTATTAGCTATACTGGCCAATACATACTAAGATTGACAACTTTACTATAATCACCACCCGCTAGTTGCTAACATGTCATTTGTTGTCGTTAAGAATATATTGCTTGTTAAAATTACTTGATTGCCTCATACATAAATTGAGAAGGGAAAAAACCATTTTCCCAAAAGGGGAGTAGTGTTGGGACAATAAGCCAAAACCCTAAATTGGGCTAACAAGGCCCAATTCTTTAGGCTTTGGCCAAAGCCTGTCCACAAATATTTAGAAAGGATTGGTTGTTATTTATTTAATCTTTTATATTCATATGTTACATGCAATTTATTAAAAATAAATCCTTTATGTATTATCAACTATTAATTCAATCTATATTTAACCACATACCATTAGTGCTAATCATTTATTTTTTTACTCAAACTGGTGTTTCAAATTTTGATTGGTTCTTTAGCTTTTGATCCTTCTCTATATAGTTCTCATTGATTTCATATCTAGGAGTTCTATTTCTTCATGACCATTAAGCCACACTTAATTCTATTTTAGGTTGTACTGGGAATTCTAAAGGAGTTATATTTGGTAATTGCTTATCTTCATTATTATCATTAGCTTCTACTTTGGCTGTGTTCCTTCCATCTATATTCATTTTTAGATTTTCCAATTCTTCTCTGGTTTAGGTAAATTATTTATATAAATTATATAATATCATGACATTTTCTTCTTTTAAGAATCTTTTTTCTATTTTGATTTGTATTTCTTTGACTCTAAATATTAGAATTCTTGAATTTCTTATGGTTCATACGGCTTCTTTGAGTTTGCTAAGATTTTTAAAGTTTCTTACATTTCCTATACTACGATACTTTTTCTTCTTAATAAGATTTAAATTCTTAAGAATGGGTTTTCTTTACCCTTTTTTTTTTTTCTTAAGGTACTTTTATTAATAATTTCTATATTTAGAATTTTACCAGTATTCTTTATGTCTTCTATACTAACCTTGTTACTACCCAAAAAGTGTTGAGTAAATACTAATTAATCCAACCTTGTGTATTAGTAATCTTATTCCTATAGAGAGAAGTGTATTAAACTATTTCTAAGTATATTTATTTTTTGTTCTCTTTAATCTTATTTGTTAGTTGAGAGTTCTTACCCTCGTGCTTCTAGATTTTACTCTTAAAAGCTTCGTGCTCTACTCTTGTTAGATTTCTTTCTCCAAGCTAAGTTATATGCTCAATTACATTGCATATTCTTATCTATCTATCTCTATAGAGTATTCCTTGAGTAAGCATATTCTTTTGGGACTAAAGTGTCACTTTCACAAAACCTAAATACCTTGTTTTATAAACTTGACAAATATGGTACGGTAGGAAGTGTACCAATGTTTTGAAAACCGACCCGGAGGTCAAACCGTTTTGACCTCTGGTTCT